CCCGTTACAAAGAGGTTTAGCTTAGGTCTAGGTTAATATTGACCTGTTATTTTTCAGTTCAATATAGTCGTAACTTAAAGTTGAGATGTTCATGACTTTGAAAATTTACAGTGGTWGATCGTGGTTACGTGAAATTAAATCGGCCAATCGATAACAGGCACACGTCACGGTCAGGTTAGGTTGGCGATAAAGGTATGAATCCATAGTTTTCCAAGTATTCTATTCTATATTTTACAATTTAATGGTTTCTTTATGATTTTATTTCAGTGTGATGGACAGCTATAATTTTTGTTGTCTTTTCAACCAATATATTATGTACTTATGAACTATGCATGTTTTGTTTCGGTGATTTTTATCATATTGTAAATTTTATGCTCCATATAGTCAATCATCTGATTAATTGTATTTACATCTAATATTTATTATTGTCTAAAATTAAATCAACTCACTTTGCAATAGCCTGAAGTGCAATTATTAAATGATCGTAGTCCAGGAAGATTTGCTCTTCTGTAAAACGATAGCCTAAGGTATTAACATTTTCGAAAACAATTAAATCCTTTTCCGCAAATTCACCGCCTTTGTTGCGACCATAAAAAAACCGTGATAAAGAAAGAGCATTTACATCATTTGCCAACGGTCCATCGACACTCTAATAAAAATGGCATGATTTTTTCATAAAAGTTTAATTCATTTTGGAATAATGTGTCACTTTCATAACCTTCACGTACCATTTTATCGCAATTCTTTAACTTGATAAAAACGGAGTAATGTATTTCGTCTGATGTTACAATCACCCCAAATATTGCTTTGTACTTCCAATCTTTTTTTTCAATTATATCATTATACACGTGAAACGACACTAAGTTACAATTAATACCGAACGCACCTTCGGCCATGATGGACTTTATTTCTGTTTTAACAAATTCTTCCATAACTCTAAACTTTGTAACTCTTTCGGAGTGCTATACGTCTTTTTAAGTGTGCTGCAATTTATTACTAATCATTTTAATTTATTCAATAGTGTAATAAAATATACTATCTGCCTGCTCCACTCATAAATCAAATGCAMAAATTACGTTTTATGTTTCACGTTATCACTCTGATACTGTACGTTCTAATCGAGTTAAATAAACAATTARTACAATATCAACACATCCAGAAAACACGTGACGTACGGAGCCACTTAGTGCTTTAAATTTATTATAATTTTAATTTTAAAATATATTTTTCGTTACGGAATATAAAAATATTATTAACTAAAAATAATTATTGATTTGTATACAATTATTATTATCTTTGTTTCGATAWGATTAAAAAATACATACATATAATATATTATAATATGAAGATCCATGAGCCATGACCCATTAAACTAAAATTCTACCAAAGTGTTTTCATTTATTGTTTCAAGTTCTGCAAATCGTTTTATATACTATTCGACAATATAATTTGAATTAATACTTTTTTTTTTTTTATAAATTATGGCGTTTATTGAGAATTTACAATCTGTACATTATATACAATAAGTAAATATTATGATATAAGAATAATATAAAGACTTTGAGTGACATGAAGGAAGACTCGCAGTCAAGTCGCCTAATTAATACTTATGAAACAACAAATTATCAGCGATGACGTATAAAACTCTGAAATATACTAATACCTATATTATACTTTAACTTTTTTTTTCACTTTTAAATAATCACCTAGCGTGTACCATGGCGTGGTGGTAGAATATAATATATTCTATAAATATTTTAATTTTATTAACTGATTTGTCACCGCCATCGACATGACAATTGTTATTATTATTATTATTTATAATTTACATACATAAATGGCATAGCCACTATGCGCTATATATCGCCGCCGACTGACACACAGGTACAGCACATCTTCGTTATTTTTATATTGTTTATTTTTGTATTAATTATTTTGTCGTTGTGAATTATTACATAATATTATGTAGATTATGTTGACGCTTTATCGACTGCCATCGGCTCGCCCGTGCTGACTATATTAACACGGCCGCCATGGTATAGTACCTATTGTATCATAAGTTGTCCAAGCGGTACCGGCGTGCGCAAAAATATTATATATTTATTTGTAAGTCGTGAATCGACACTTTTATTATATTGTGCGGCCCATCCTTTTTATTATTATTTATTGTAAGGCGCGAATCGCCAGTGTATATTATTTTCTTATTATTATTTTAATACAGTGTGTGTACTGTGTACCTATCGTGTGTTAGTATTATTATTATTATCAATATAGGATAGGTAGCAGCTGGCCAGCCGAGCACCGTCATATCTGTGAGTTGTTGCATTATTATTATTAGGCATATCTTGTTACCTACAATCATATTATTATATTTACCTGTTTGGCCTGCAGAAGGGCCATAATATTACTATACATATTTTTTCATACTTTATGTTGCTGTGATTTATATATTTTTTTGTGTCCGTGAATAGTTATTTATTTTGTGTACATAAACTATACAGCAACTCATTTTTACCAGCAACCGTGTTACCGTTTATTTTAGTTTAAGTCTACACACCACACAAATACATATTCACACATCCACCACGCACTAGCCTCTCTGGTCTTGCTCGGCGATCCCGTCCACTTCCTTAGAGTCGCTATAACACGTACACTTTTTTACACAGTTCGGTCGGTGTGTGAGTATATAAAACTTATACGAAGCATTACGTGACCGGGCGTCACGGCCTATTGATTGTTTGTTACACAATATTATAGCATAACGCATTCAAATTTTAACAACACAATCAGAGTGATGATCATTTATACAATGTAATAAGCTAGTGCGTTTTTCATAAGTTTTGCAACCAAATATATAATTTAAATACATCGAAAATATAGAATATG